TTACCTCGTTGTGTTGTGATTAGTATATATAGGGAATATAAGGCAGTAATTACTATATTTAGCCCTATTAGAATAATTGTAATATTGGATCATGAAAAAGTGGATATTACTACGAATAGCTCTCCAATTAGGTTAATTGTTGGGGGGAGAGCTAGGTTAGTTAAGCTTGCCAAGAGTCATCAGGTGGCTATTAGTGGAAGAAAAGTCTGTAAACCTCGGGCTAAAATTATTGTTCGACTGTGAATTCGTTCGTAGTTAGGGTTTGCTAGGCAGAAAAGTATAGATGAGATGAGGCCATGAGCAATTATTAGGGCTGTGGCTCCTATATAGCTTCAAGGTGTTTGGATGAGGATGGCTACAATGACAAGTGCTATGTGGCTGACAGAGGAGTATGCAATTAGTGATTTAAGATCTGTTTGGCGAAGACAGATTGAGCTGGTCATAATTATGCCCCATAGGGATAATATAATAAAGGGATATGCTATGAATTCGGTAAATGGATTTAGGAGTATTGTGATTCTTAGTATACCATATCCTCCTAGTTTTAGTAGGACTGATGCAAGGACTATGGAGCCTGCAATGGGGGCTTCTACATGGGCTTTCGGTAGTCAGAGGTGAAGGCCATACAGTGGTATTTTTACCATAAAGGCTATTATACATGCTAGTCATATAAAGACGTTTGATCAAGAGTTTGATAGAGGTTGTACTCAGTATTGAAGCATTAGGAAGTTTAGGGATCCGATTGTATTTTGGAGGTAGACTAATGTGACTAGTAGTGGAAGAGAGCCTGCTAGTGTATAAAATAGGAAGTAGAGGCCAGCGTTTAGGCGTTCTGTTTGATCCCTCCATCGGGTAATAATAATGAGCGCTGGGACTAGTGTTGCTTCAAATAAAATATAGAAGAGGACTAGCTCTATGGCGGTGAAGGTCATAATTAGAAATAGTTGTAATAGAATTAGTATGGTAATATATAGTTGTTTTCGGGTTAGACTTTTGTTTGATAAGTGGTGTTGACTAGTTATTACTATTAAAGGAAGAAGCCATATGGTTAGAATTAATAGTGGTGTTGACAGGGAGTCAGAGAAGAATAATTATGAGAAGTTGAGGCTGTTATCGCTAAACTGATTTATAAGGAGAAGGCTTGTGAGGCTAATTAATAGGCTATGAGCTGTAGAATTAATTCAGATTATGCTGCCTTTTGATAATCAGGTCAGGGGTATAAGTATTACTGTGGGAACAATATATTTTAGCATTGAAGTAGGTTAAGATTTTGTACATAATCAGTACCATATGTATTTGATACTATTACTAGTAATGATAATCCTAGTGCTGCTTCGCAGGTTGTGAAGACTAATAAAATAATAGGTATCATGCTTGCGAGGGTGAAATGTGAATTTAAGATCATTAGGGTGGCTATTATGAATAGGGATAGTATCATCCCTTCTAGGCATAGGAGTGATGATATGAGGTGGGACCGGTATATTAGCAGTCCTGCAAGGGATACTATAAATGCTATTATATTATTTATATATACTCAAAAGACACTTGGTAGTTATGAGTTTAATCATAATCTAATGAGTCAAAATCATTTATTTTACTTTAAACTAAATACCATACTCAGTTCATTCTAACCCCTTTTGGGTTCACTCATAAGCTAGGCTTGCGGCTAGTAATAAAATTAAGAAGAGGGCTATAGTGAGTATTGTGCCTAGGTTATTTGTTTGTGAGGCTCATGGTAGTGGTAGAAGGAGTGCAACTTCTAGGTCAAAAAGAAGGAACGTGATAGCCATTAGAAAAAAATTTTATGGAGAAAGGTAGGTGGGCTGATCCTGTGGGGTCAAACCCACATTCATATGGGCTTGTTTTTTCTGAGTAAGCATTTAATTGGGGAAGTCAGAATGCAATGATAACAAGTAGTAAGGCTAGTGTGAAGTTGGTCAGGAGGGCTAGTATAAGGTTTATTATTCTTTTTCGGGCTGTACCGAAACTAACTGATTGGAAGTCAGCTGTACTAGTTAATACTAAAAGAATATGAGCCTCATCAATAGATAGATACGTAGAGGAAGAGTCATACTACGTCTGCGAAATGTCAATATCAGGCAGCAGCTTCGAAGCCGAAATGGTGGTTAGAAGTAAAGTGAAATTTTAGTTGGCGGAAAAAGCAGACAGTTAAGAAAGTAGACCCAATAATAACACGTAGGCCATGGAAGCCTGTGGCTACGAAGAAGGTTGAGTCATAAACTCCATCTGAAATGGTAAAAGGTGCTTCATAGTATTCTGAGGCTTATAGTAGTGTGAAGTAGACAACTATTGCAATAGTAATGAATAGAGCTTGTAGTACATGGTTATGGTTTCCCTCTCTAAGGCTGTGATGGGCTCAGGTAATGGAAACTCCTGAGGCTAGTAAGACGGACGTATTAAGTAGTGGGACTTCTAAAGGGTTAAGTGGGTGAATGCCTGTTGGAGGTCAGCAACCGCCTAATTCGGGTGTTGGGGCGAGACTTGAGTGATAGAATGCTCAGAAATACCTGGTGAAGAATAAGACCTTGGAAATAATGAAGAGGATCATTCCATAACGGAGACCTTTTTGGACAGTTGGGGTGTGGTGTCCTTGGAAAGTACTTTCTCGGATAATATCTCGCCATCATTGATATAATGTAAGTATATTTGTTGTTAGGTCAAGTGTTAATAGGATTGTTGAGTTGAAGTGGAATCATAATTAAACCAGATGTTATTAGGAGGGCTGATAGGGCTCCTGTGAGAAGTCAGGCACTCGGGTTTACTATGTGGTAGGCATGGGTTTGATGTGTCATTATGTGTTGTCATGCAGGTATAGGCTGACTAGGAGGGTAAATATGTAGACTTGAATTATAACTACTGCGAACTCAAGAATGGTAAGTAGGACTAGAATAATAAATGTGATGAGGGCTGTTGTGGTGCTGATGTTCATTAGTGCAAGTGTGGCCCCTCCAATCAGGTGAACTAGTAAATGTCCTGCAGTAATATTGGCTGTTAGTCTCATGGCTAGGGCAATTGGTTGAATAAAAAGGCTGATAGTTTCAATGATAACTAGTATAGGGATTAATGGAGTGGGTGTTCCTTGTGGAAGAAAGTGGGCAAGTGGTGCTTTAGTTTTGTTGTGGAAGCCTTTGACTACAGCTCCTGCTCACAAGGGAATGACCATGCCCAGGTTCACTGATAATTGTGTGGTTGGTGTAAATGAGTGGGGTAATAGACCTAAAAGATTTGTTGATCCAATAAATAAAGACATAAGTATTAATGTTCATGTTTGTCCTTTGGCATTGTGAATTCCTATTATTTGTTTTGATACGAGTTGAATTACTCATTGTTGGAGGGAAATAAGATGGTTATTCCCCAGTCGATTTGATGTTGGAAATAGTAGGCTAGGGAACATAACGATAAGGGTAGTGAGCAGGAGGCCTAGGATTATTGGGTTAATGAAAGAGGCAAATAGATTTTCGTTCATTTTGTTTCTCAAGGGGTGTTTTGTTTTTGTGTTTTAGTTACCGTGTGTTCTGGATTAAGATAGAAACTGTGTTTTGAAATTTTTAATTGAAAAATAATAAAGAGAACCAGAAATATTGCTATAATTATTGTAAATCACGTTGATGTATCTAGTTGTGGCATGTCATTAAGGAGAGTATTATGCCCTCAGTCTCTAGTTTAAAAGGCTAGTGCTAATTTAGCTTCTTAACGATTTTATAGTATTGATGCAAATCATTTTTCAAAATATTTTAGTGGGACTAGTTCAAGAACAATGGGCATGAAGCTGTGATTTGATCCACAGATTTCGGAGCATTGTCCATAGTATAGACCTGGTCGAGTTGATATAAGAGTTGTTTGGTTTAAGCGTCCTGGGATCGCGTCTGTTTTTAACCCTAAAGAAGGTACGGCTCAGGAGTGTAGTACATCTTTAGAAGAAACTAATATTCGAGCTGTTATTTCTGTTGGTAATACAACTCGGTTATCTACTTCTAATAGTCACAGTTCTCCTGGTTTTAATTCTGATGTTGGAATTATATAGGAATCGAAGCTTAAGTCTTCATAATCTGTGTATCCATAGCTTCAATATCACTGATGTCTCATAGTTTTTACTGTAAGGGATGGGTTGTTGATTTTGTCTATTATATATAAAATTCGTAAAGATGGGAGGGCAATTAGGATTAGGATAATGGCTGGTAAAATAGTTCAGACTGTCTCTACCTCCTGGGAGTCTATTGTACTGGTGTGAGTTAGTTTTGTTTGTTAACATTAATGAGATGATGTAGAGTACTAGTGAGCTAATTAGAAAGACAATTATTAATGTATGGTCATGAAAGTGTAGTAGTTCTTCTATAATAGGTGATGTTGCATCTTGGAAACCTAGTTGTATGGGGTAGGCCATATGAGGTATGCAGAGTTTTCACCTGTCACTTAACTTTGACAAAGTTATATAATGTTTTACTAACACCTCATCAATTGAGAAAGACATAGTGGCTATGATGTTGGCTTGAAACCAGGTATAGAGGGTTCGACTCCTTCCTTTCTTATTTTAAGTTGACATATGTAGGTCCTTCAAATGTATGATATGGTGGAGGGCACCCATTTAGTCACTCTAAGTTTGTTGTCAGGTCTACAGTCAGGACTTCTCACTTAGATGCAAATGCTTCTAAGAGATAACTGAGCCTATAGATGAAATGGTATTTCACATTGTATATGCATCTGGGTAATCAGAGTAGCATTGTGGTATACCGGACAACCCTAGCAAGTGTTGTGGGAAGAAGGTTATGTTTACACCTACAAATATAATTACAAAATGGATTTTGGTTCATGTTGTGTTGACGGTGTATCCTGAGAATAGTGGAAATCAGTGAACAAATCCCCCTATAATAGCAAATACAGCCCCCATTGATAATACATAGTGGAAATGTGCAACTACATAGTATGTGTCGTGGAGAACAACATCGAGAGAAGAGTTGGCTAGAACAATTCCAGTTAAACCTCCAACTGTAAAAAGGAAAATAAAGCCTAGAGCTCATATTATAGCAGGTGATCATTTAATGTTGCCTCCATGAAGTGTTGCTAGTCAACTAAAGACCTTTACTCCTGTTGGAATAGCAATAATTATAGTGGCTGATGTGAAGTAGGCTCGTGTGTCAACGTCTATTCTGACTGTAAATATGTGGTGAGCTCATATGATAAATCCTAGGAATCCAATTGATATTATAGCTCAGACCATTCCCACATATCCAAATGGCTCTTTTTTTCCTGAATAATAGGTTATGATGTGAGAGATTATACCAAACCCACGTAGAATAAGAATATATACTTCAGGGTGTCCAAAGAATCAGAATAAGTGTTGATATAGAATAGGGTCCCCACCTCCTGCTGGGTCAAAGAAAGTTGTATTTAAATTTCTGTCTGTTAATAGTATTGTAATCCTGGCTGCTAGGACATCGAGTGAGAGAAGTAGCCGTACGGCAGTGATTAGTACAGATGACACGAACAGAGGGGTTTGGTATTGTGACATTGCAGTAGGTTTTATATTAATAATTGTTGTAATGAAATTAATGGCCCCTAGAATTGAGGAGACACCTGCCAGGTGTAGGGAAAAAATAGGTCCACTGAAGCTCCTGCGTGGGCTAGATTGCCAGCTAGAGGAGGATACACGGTTCAGCCTGTTCCTGCTCCGGCTTCAACTATAGATGATGCTAGAAGAAATAAAAAAGGAGGAGGGAGGAGTCAGAAGTTTATATTATTCATTCGAGGGAATGCTATATCAGGGGCACCAATTATCAGGGGAACTAGTCAATTGCCAAATCCTCCAATTATAATTGGTATAACTATAAAGAAAATTATTACGAATGCATGTGCGGTAACAATTACGTTATAAATTTGATCATCTCCGAGCAGGGTTCCAGGTTGACCCAGTTCAGCACAAATCAGTCGTCTTAGGGCTGTTCCTACTGTGCCTGCTCAGGCACCAAATTGTAAATACAGGGTACCAATGTCTTTGTGATTAGTTGAAAATAATCAGCGCTTGACGAACATAGGTAAAATGGCTGAGTGAAGCATTAGACTGTAAATCTAAAGACAGGGGTTTAATTCCTCTTTTTACCAAGTCCTGTGGTGAAATTACATGTTGAATTGCAAATTCAAAGAAGCAGCTTCAATTCTTTGATTTACCCCCTGATCTTGGCAGCCTGACTCCTCGAGGGGAGCAAAGGTAGAGAGGAAAGCAACCCAACCTCCCAAGTCTCAGCTTTATACCCCCTGCATTTCAACAGTTGCCCCTAAAATGAGTCGGGGGATATTTGAGGACCCCATCAGCTCATGTATGTGAAATTGCTTGGCTAAGTCATCAATTCCCACCCGAACATGGCAGCTCTAGGACCTGGGTTCAGCTCAGAGCAGATTTCCTGGGAACCCATGTCAAGTTCACAAACAGGCTGTGAGCAGTGTGCCTCAGACTGAGGCTCCAGTCCAGGGCATGGCACACCCTCCTGGAAGCACAGCCGATTGCAAAGGTTCTGCTGTCGGGTTCTGGGCAGGAAGAGGGTGGGCTCCCCCAAAGTTGGCCCTGATCCAGCCCTCTCCCTGCCCACCAGGAGCCTTCTTGATCCCCTACTTCCTCATGCTCATCTTCTGCGGAATTCCCCTCTTCTTGGTGGAACTCTCCTTCAGCCAGTTTGCAAGTCAGGGCTGCCTGGGGGTCTGGAGGATCAGTCCCATGTTCAAAGGTGAGGCCCAGATGGGGTACACACACACGGGCCTCTGGGGGCTGTGCTGACTCCCCCATCTGTATAAAGACTGCCAACCCCTATGGAACCCGGGTGTTGACCCCAGGTCCACATCAATGGCCAAGGCCAGGGACACATGCTGGGATCCATTGTTTACTTGGCCTCCACCCTCCCCTCCTACCAGGTGCATACACAAAAGCCCTTCGCCCGCTCTCCCACTCAGCCCCCAGCTCGCTCCTGCCAAGGCTTTGACCTGCCCCTTCTGTGGCCCTCCACGAAAGCCTACCCCTTAGGCCCTTCAGAATGAGCTTCGTCTCCTTCAGCTAGGTGAGTGAGGCTGCTCCTGCCCCTCCCCTCCCCCAGGTGTGCGCTAAGGCAGGATGGTGGTGTCCACATACATGGGAATGTACTACTGCATGGTCGTCTGCATTGCCTCCTGCTGCAGTAGCCGTTGGAACCTGCCCGACCGCGTGAGCGTGCTGGATGACCCCAACCTCACTGAGAGTCTGCAACCCCCTGCCCAGCTCGGCAATGTCTCTCAGGCGCTCAACCTGAGCCTCCAGAGGGCAAGCCCCAGCGAGGAGTACTGGAGGTGAGGCCCCCATGGGACCTGGGCTTCTGGGGGTTACCCTGGGAGCCTGTCTTCAGCCCTCCTTCTTCGCTGAAGGGCAGTGGTCTGCAGTCTAGGGAGGGTGCCAGGAATGGAGCAGGGCAGGGGTGTGGGAAGAAATGTAAGGAGTTCGAAGCCCACTTCGGGAGAGGCTGTCGCACAGGCTCTGAGTTTGTGCGCGTCCTTACACAGCAGCATTGAGGCACCAGCAGTCAGGCAGGGCAGACGAGGAGGGTCGGGGCAAAGAGGGGTGGCTTCCTGGTAAGCAGAAGAACTCCAGCAGAGGCCTTAGCTCCAGATGAGCCTGAGGGAAAGCCGTTGTGATGAGGGTAACAGGTGTGTGGGGAGCTCACCAGCCCCGTGGCGGCCCACAGGGAGCACGTGACTTCTTGGCGGGCTTATAAGAGGGAAGCGTAGGCCTAGCCCTGCAGAAGCAAAGGAGAGCTGTGGGAGTGTCCTGAGCCCAGAGCTGTCGTCATCAAGCTGTGTTTGGGAAGGGCAGCCTGGCCCCCTGAGCTCTGCGCTGACAGAGAACGGAGTCCTGGGGCTGGCCTGAAGGGAGGTTGTTACTGGGGGGGGTTGGAACATCTTGTCTCAGCTGAGTGGGTGTGAGGGCACAGCAGGACCTCCTGGAGGAAATTCCCCACGTCCTGTTGGGGAGCTCCTGGGAAGAGGGCTTTGTGGGCTGGTGGGCAGGCCTCGTTCATTCATTCCACAAACATTGATGGCGTCCACTCTGATGGGCCCTGTGTGCTCATGGGGTATGAACAGCCCTGAGTCCATGCCATGAGGAGGTCACAGTCTGGAAGGGAGCTGGGTAGTTAAAGCTCTGTGGGGCAGGGGCCTCAGTGCAGGTATATGCAGGGATGTGGTGAGGGCAAGAGCAGGTGACTGAGGAGGCTTCCCATGGACTTCCCTCAAGGTCCAGTGTCTAAGCTTCCGAGCTTCCAGTGCCTCTACTGCAGGGGGCAGAGGTTCAATCCCTCCTCAGGGAACTAAGATCCCACATGCCAAGCATGACACGGTCCAAAACCAAATCATAAACAAAGCCAAGACTTCCCAGAGGAGGGAGAAAGGAAGTAGAGAAGGATTGGGAGACACGGGCAGATGAGCTGCAGCCAGGAGGTGGCAGACTGGAGCTGGGGGTGGGAGCAGGTAGGACAGAGTACTGGGACAGAGGAGGCCAGGACATGAAAAGGCACAGGGCTTGCCCTGCCGGTCAGAGGGTTCAAGCCTTCTGCATGCTGTGATGGAGAGTCAGGGCTGAGCGGCTGAGGTCCCAGTGACACTCGAAGTCCTAGCAGGTCCACGTCCTCTAAGCCGAGGGCCGGCACTCAGAGCGTCAGGGCCCAGTGTCCCTGGGCTGCTGCTGCTGCATATGTGCTCAGTCGTGTCTGACTCTTGGCCACCCCGTGGACTGTATGTAGCCTGCCAGGTGCCTCTGTCCATGGAATTTTCCAGGCAAGAACATGGCACAGGTTGCCATTTCCTACTCCAGGGGATCTCCCTGACCCAGGGATTGAACCAGTGTTTGCTGCACCTCCTGTACTGGCAGGCAGATTCTTTACCACTGAGCCGATTGGGAAGGCCCTGTGCTGCGCTATAGATGTTCAAAGACGGTTAAGATGTGCTCTCCGTCCTCAAGACTCTTGGTGGAGACCATCGAGCCGTTGCCTCCCAGTGAGGTTTGGGCAAAATTACCTCTGGCCAGATTCAGCCGGTCAGTCATTGGACGGGTCATTTCCTGAACACCAGGTAGGTCCTGAGAACTGTACTCAGAGCAGGGACAGAGTGGGGAGTAACAGACTCCGCCCACTGAGGTGTTCTGCTACATTTGGGGCAGAACACATGGTGTGGACTGGGCGACTTGATCTGGACTAGGGAGAACCTTCTGGAAGGTTGCAGAAGCCCACAGCCTGGAGATGCTCCAGAAATGATCAGCCCAGGGGCTGTCTTCCAGGGTGGGGGTACTGCTTGGCAAAGCTCAGGAGATTTTATCCAGTGCAATTAGAGGGGAATTTCCCTCCCAGAAAACTAGCCATGGGTCAGGAGGTCCACAGGATGGCCTGCTGAACTGCACTCTTTGTCTGGGGCTGGGGCCAGGCCTCCCTAAGGAGCAGGCAGTCCCAGACAGGACTCCTTCCCTTCAGGATGGCTCCCTGCTGCCCCCTCCTGGAGAGCCTAGGGAAGTGACCTTTGAGAGGGCTGCCCAAGCTGGCTTCAGGAAGATGAGGTGAGCCAGCACCCCCATTTCTGGGCACCTACTATGTGCTTATTGTTGTTTAGGTGCTCAGTCGTGCCCAGCTCTTTGGCAACCCCATGGGCTGTAGCTCTCCAGGCTCATCTGTCCATGGGATTCTCTAGGCAAGAATCCTAGGGTGGGTTGCCATTTCCTTCTCCAAGGGATCCTCCCAACCCAGAAATCAAAGCCAAGTCTTCTGCATTGGCAGGTGGGTTCTTTACCCCTGAGCCACCAGGGAACTATGTGTTAGGCATATTATATGATATCAGCCCCATTTTCAGATTCAGAGACTGATTCTCCGCTGTTACGGAACTAGGCCGCAGTGCTGTGTCAGGATATATGTATGTCAGGATACACGTGCCCTGCTGTGCCTGGTGCCTAATGTGAATTAGGCTGATGATACTCTGCAGGCTTTCTGGGTCCACAGTCTCCAGCGACCCTTTGGAAAACTGCACAGTCTCATTTGAGCCCCACAGCAGCCCTATTAGATAGTGTGTGCCAGTTTTATAAAATGTTCCAATTGTACAAGTGAACAAAGGAAATCAAGAGAAAGATTGACTCCTCTAAAGGGAGAAGAGTTGCCAGGGCAGATTTCTGAGCCCACGTCTGCCTTTTGCCCACCCTTGGCTTCCAGCCTTCCCTGCCCTCACCATGTCTTTACAGCATGACCTTAGAGTCCTCTGAGAGCTGATCTGATGCCTACCAGGCAGGCCCAAAGCTCAGGACCAGCCCTCATCTCCCCAGCAGACACCTGACGCCCAGTGAGACTTGGATCCCAGCACCCTGCTCTCAGTGTCTTCATGCCAGCTCTAGAGCCACACAGACCTCACTCAGATCCTGGCTGTGCTGCATAGCAGCTTGGCCTTGTGAGGTCACCAAACCTCTTTACGCCTCAACTGTTCATCCATTAAGTGGGAGTGGTTACAACATCATTCTTGTTATGATAAAGATGTAGCGGAAATCACTAAGAACAGGGGCGGGTGCTCAGTAAGCACAGTGATAGCCACTGCTGGAGATGCAGTGCTATAGATGAGAGTGTCCTGTTCTCAAGGCGTTTACCATCTGGTTGGGGACATTAAAAAATAATGCAGAATAAGTCCAGAGATGTTATGTGAAAGCCAACTTGTAACTATGTGTGGTTCTGGAAGTTTTTCAGTTAGTTGTTTGGTCTCAAAAGCACATGGTCCAAAACCAAAACCAAACACTAAATATGGTGCCATAAAAAGAAAGAGTTCAGAAGATTAGCCTTCCAAACTCTCTAAACCCTTGTATTGTATGCTGAACTCTTGCAATAAGAAAATAATACAAAGCACTACCAGTTTAACATATGTAACTAGACAAAGGTTTGAGAGAGTCTTTTGAGCAAGGAATGGGTTCTTTCCTTTGAATGCTGGTGCTTAAAGTAAATCACCTCTCAGCTGTAGCAGTGAGACCCAGTGGCTATTCTGGAAGGCAGAGCCTCCCAACACAACTTGAAAATGGGCATCATAACTTCATAACTTTACGATGTGCCCTACCTAAGTAGTGTACCAGTGCGGTCGGGCTTGGGCAGCCCAGAATCTCCAGCCCTGCTGCCTTCAGCTTTGAGTGACCTTGTCTATTTGCCCCATGGGCCCAAACTATTTTCTTCTGCATGTCCCAGAGGGAAAAAGATTGGAAAGCACAGCCGCAAGGGTCCAGGAGCCACTCCTGGGAGGAGGGCGTGGATCTTATTCATCCCTTTATCTTTGGTTCCCCCATGGACTGAGCCTGGAGAGTTTCTCACCCTGAAGCCTGTTGAGCGAACCAACGTAGAGGCAGGAGTTTGGCAGAAGAGGGATGTGTTGGTCAGCGCCCCCTGCAGGTCACAATGTGAAGGGCAGCCTAGGGGAAGATTTGCGGCAGAAGAGGCCTGCTAAGGTGCTTGCGGGTCTGACAGTGCGGTGAGCCGAGCAGACAAATCCCGGACCTGGCAACACTGTCCCGTGAGGGAGCAGGCTGACCACCCATCACAAGGTATAAACATGTTTTCATGAGGTTTGAGAACTGAGTTGGAAAAAAAGTAAAAAGAGCTAAGATTAGAGGACAGCCTATGAGCTATGCTGAGAAGTCTTCACTGAAAGAGGGGGAAGAAAGGAGCCTGTATTTTTCTAAATTTACCTACAGATCATCCTAGGTTGAAGTTAGGATGCCCATTTTCAAGATGAGGAGACTGAGGCTCAATCGTTTGTCTCTTGCTCATCAGTTCTAGCCTGGATAACTCCAACAGCCATGCCAGTCCCCCTCCAGATACTCCCCTTTATACTTCCCAGTCCATTTTCCATGCTGTGAATTTATTCACCCATTCAGCAAATGCTTACTGGGCATGCCTCTTGTTCAGATGTGTTCAGAATTTCAAGATGGCAATGGCAGGACGCTGAACCAAGCACAAGGCCCTTCTAAGCACGGGGCCCTGTGTGCCCTCACAGATCTCACATCCATGTGGACGTGTGGAGGTCTGGGGAAAGAGTACGCCAGACAGGGAAGAGCATGTGTAAAGGCCCTGAGGTGGGAGTGGGCCTGGCACATTTCAGGAACAAGGAACCCAACACAGCTGGAGCAGTGAGTAAGGGGGGAAGGAGCAGGAGGAGAGGAGATCTGAGAGATGGCATTTAGGAGATAGTGGATCGTGAAGGGCTTTGTAGCCACCGTATGGACTTTGGTTTTTCCATGGCCAGAGATAGGAGCTGTTACAAGGTTGTGAGCCAAGGAGAGGCCCTGAGAGACCTCTTCTAAAAACCCTCCAGGAGCTTCTCATTGCTCTCAGAATAAAATCCAAACTTCTCCTTCTTGTCTTCACAACGTCTCTTGATCTTGTTCCTTCCTATCTTCATCCTTCTCTATTCCCCTCTCCTTCTTCTCCAGCCTTCTGGAGTTACTGACGTGCCCAGGCAGTTCCTGACCCTGTCCCGCTGGGTCATGACCTGACCCTGACCCATGCCCTCAGCCTGGCCTGTGCTTTCATTTCTCTTCACCCACTTTCTCCCCATCCTTCGAACTTTGGCTCAAGCCGCCCCTCTTCTAGGAATACTTCCAGTGTGTTCCTCCCCATGGGGTTAGGATGCTCCTGGAAGTGCCCACAATACCTGATTTAAGTCAACATGCCTAGCATCTAGCAAGGGCTTGGCACATCAATGTCCAGTAGATTGAAGACACAGCTGGCATGGCATGGGGCTCCAGAGAGAGTCAGGCATACTCAGGAGAGGACTTCAGGTTCCAGTCTAGGCTTGTGTGCTCCAGTGTGTGTGCTAAGTCGCTTTAGTCATATCCAATTCTTTGTGACCCCATGGACTATAGGCCTGCATGCTCCTCTGTCCATGGGATTCTCCAGGCAAGAACAGTGAAATGGGTTGCCATTTCCTCCTCTAGGGGATCTGCCCAACCCAGAGATCAGAGCCATGTCTCGTACATCTCCTGCATTGACAGGTGGCTTCCTTACCACGAGTGCCGCCTGGGAAGCCTCCGTCTTTCCTCAGTACTCCACTGCCTGCCTCTCTCCATCTGAGTTGGAGGACTGGTGTGGGTGAAAAGGTCACAGAAGGCTTCCTGGAGGAGGTGACACCAGATGGGGTGCGTCTAGTCTGGAGGAGAGGGCCTTCCTAAAGGAAAGGCCTGGGCCAGGTCTGAGCAGGGACAGGGAGACCTCCACACCCCAGGGGCTGGGGAAGCTAGCCCAGGCCTGGGGTGTGGCCTGCAGGCACCCTTGAGGATCCTGGGAGAGGCCACAGGCAGTGAGGCCTGGGCAGGCTGGGGCTGGGGCCTCGCCAAGGCTCCCATTGCAGAGAAGCCGGCTGCTGGGACTCCATGAGAAAGGAGGGAGCTGCCAGGCTGGGCCCTGGGCCTTGGGGATGTGTTGCTGGATGGTGCGGCTGGCCCTCAGTGACAGCGTGTCCCCTTCTAGGCTCTACGTGCTGAAGCTGTCGGATGGCATTGGAAACTTCGGGGAGGTGCAGGTGCACCTCCTCAGCTGCCTGCTTGTCTCCTGGGTGGTCGTCTTCCTCTGCCTCACGCCAGGGGTCAGGTCTTCAGGGAGAGTGAGTCCCTCCCTCCAGGATCTGAGCCCACCCAGAAATCTGCCTCCCCTGCCTGGGTTTTGTGTGTGGAGGGGTGGGTGGGGGCATGATGAAAGCATGGAGGAGGGAAAGAGGGACCAGAGGAGCCATGGTGGTTGAGGGGGCAGGTTGGGGGGTGGAGTGAGAAGAGCCCAAGGAGTCCAGGGGGGCCCCTCTCACCCCCAGGTGGCGTACTTTACGGCCACATTCCGCTACATGGTGCTGACCATCCTGTTCGTCTGTGGCGTGACCCTGGAAGGAGCCTCCAAGGGCATCAAGTACTGCCTGACCCCACAGTGGGACAAGATCCTGGAGGCCAAGGTGGGCTGTGGGTGGAAGGTGACCTGGAGGGACGGGGAGGGGCAGAGAGGCGCCAGCCTCTGAGCTCAGCTCCTCCTGCAGGTATGGGGGAACGCCGCCTCCCAGATCTTCTACTCACTGGGCTGCGCGTGGGGTGTCTCATCACCATGGCTTCCTACAACAAGTTCCACAACAACTGTTACCGCTGAGAGTGTCTCCGCCAGCGCTGGGGCTGCCCCCTGTTCTGCCCTCTCTGCAGCCTGACCCTGCTTCCCCCAGACCCAGCAGATCCAGTGAGGCCTTCTGGCCCGCCAGCACCCTCCCTTCCACTCACAGCCTTGAGATCCTGGCAGTGCCGGGTCTGGTTCCAGTCACTGCAGAACAGAGAGCACTTAGGCAGAAGAGAGAAGGGGTGACGATAGTGATGCCCCAGGGGTCTGTAAGGACTCAAGAGCCTCGTGCCCACTAAAGAGGCCCAGAACAGACCAGAGAGGAGATTGGGGGTACTTTTGTTCCTAGAAGTTTCCCTGTCTCAAGTCTGCTGGCCCAAATTGGGCAGGAGGAACTAAGCTGCGTGTCCTGACCACGTGTTTGCCTCCCCATTAGAGACAGTGTCATCATCAGCGTCACTAACTGTGCCACCAGCGTCTATGCCGGCTTCATCATCTTCTCCATCCTGGGCTTCATGGCTAATCACCTGGGTGAGGACGTGTCCCACGTGGCAGACCAGGGCCCGGGCCTGACACTCATGGCATACCCAGAGGCCCTCACACTGCTGCCCGTTGCCCCACTCTGGTCCTTGCTCTTCTTCTTCACGCTCATCTTGATGGAGCTGGGCACTCAGGTACGAGATGCGGGACCCAGGCCTGTGGCTTAGGGCAGGAGGAGGCGGGGCCAAGGGTAGGCCCCTGCTCTGATGGCTGTATCCTACAGTTTCACCTCCTAGAGATGCTGGTCACAGCCATTGTGGATGAGGTAGGGACTGAGTGGATCCTGCAGAGAAAGATATATGTGACCTTGGCCGTGGCTGTGGCTGGCTTCCTCCTGTGAATCCCCCTCACCAGCCAGGTAAGAACCAAGGGAAAGGCTGGGCCAGAGTTGCCAGGGTGTGGGGTGGGGGGAAGACAGCAGAGAGAAGGGGTCTGTAGCCTCAGGCACCCCCAACTAAGCTGCCCACTGGCACGCAGGCAGGCATGTACTGGCTGCTTCTGATGGACAACTACGCAGCCAGTTACTCCTTGGTCATGGGAGGCCGTGGAAGCTTGGCACTTACCGTAAATGTACATAATGGACACACAACTCTCCATGGTTTCATTATTATCCCCGCTTTACAGATGAGGAAACTGAGGCCTGAGATGTTAAGTAATTGACCCAAGGTTATATAGCTTCTAAGAGTCAGAGCCCTCATGTGAAGCAATTGGCCTGATCTGGAGCGTGTGTGCTGGGCCCATGCTGCATTAGAAACAAGTTTAGGAGTAGGAGTGGTCTGTGGACTACAAACCTTCTGATTTTGTTCCTTTATGATCAGGGTGAGAAGGCGGGGGCGGGGGCGGGAGTGAGGGGTGGGGGTGGGGCAGGGATTTGCTAGTGTCATGGTACCTCCACAGAGAAGAGGCAGGGCTGTCTCTGAGTGACAGAGGGGTCAGCCCGATGGTCAGGGCAGTGTCTGGCGTCTTGCCCCCAGTCGTGCCAGTTCCTCTGTGCCGCAGAGAGGTCAGCACCGGGTTTCCACACTGGTTCATGTTTCTGGAAAAGAAAAAAAAGAATGACCCCTGAGGGCTGAGGCCTCCATCGCATGGGGTGTGGGATCTTCCCAAGCCTGGCAGAGGAACCAGCTCTGGCCACTGGCCCGGCTTTGAAACAGGAGCAGAGGAAGTGTCTTGTAAGAGGTGGGAGGCGGGGGAGGGCAAACACCACAGCCAAGGGCTGAGCTCCAGGACATGGCTGAAGGCTTTGGAGGTGTATGCTGAGGCCTCCTGGCAAGCAGCACACATTGTCCCAGGCCCTCCAAGTGGTCCATGAACCACCTGCCCATCTTTCTGCTTCCTGTCGTATTTTTGTTGCTGCAGCCCTAGGCTTTATCTCTGCTGTTCCTCAGCTCTTTCCAAAGTGGTTCTGAGAGTACTCCCAGCCTGACATGGTTTCTAGGCTTCAGAGCCTCCCCTGGCTGTCCATTGCTGTCTCTGCAGCCATAGTCTGGCAGGACTTCTCCCTTTCCTTTTCCTCATTGCTCCCACCTCCCTGCATAAGTCAATTCAGATCAGCACATGAGATTGTGCCAGGTGCCGTGCTAGGCACTGGAGACCTAGAGCTGATGCAATCCCAGGAGCCCCAGGTCTGGAGGAAACATAGAAAAATTGCTTCAGTTCAGTTCAGTCACTCAGTCGTGTCTGACTCTTTGTGACCCCATGAACCGCAGCATGCCAAGCCTCCCTGTCTATCACTAACTCCCGGAGTTTACCCAAACTCATGTCCATTGAGTCGGTGATGCCGTCCAACCATCTCATCCTCTGTCGTCCCCTTCTCCTCCTGTCCTCAATCTTTCCCAGCATCAGGGTCTTTTCAAAGGAGTCAGCTCTTCACATCAGGTGGCCAAAGTATTGGAGTTTCAGCTTCAATATCAGTCCTTCCAATGAACACCCAAGACTGATCTCCTTTAGGATGGATTGGTTGGATCTCCTTGCAGTCCAAGGGACTCTCAAAAGTCTTCTCCAACACCACAGTTCAAAAAATGCTTAGTAGATGGAAAATCCCATTGAGCCTTAAAGGCCACAGATTTGGCCTTACTTCAGCAGGCAGTGAGGGGGTCATTGTAAGTCTTTGAGTAGAACTTTCAGGGGCCCCAGCAGCTGAAGAGTTTCTTGCCTGCTTCAGGATTATCTGAAGGCCAGACCCCTCCCCTTCCACAGTGCCCACCTGCCCATCATACCCTGGACCCCTGGTGCCATCAGCTTCTTCTGCTACGCAAACATTGATGTCACCCCTGCCTCCCTGAAATGCTTCTTTCTAGTCTGGGAAACTGGAGAGGGAGGGGAGCAGTGCTGATAGGAGGCCTAAGGCCTGGGTGGGGCTGGGCAGGACTCATGCCTACTCCCAACTCCCACTCTTTGCAGTTTATTCTCATCTTCCTGGTGGTCCAGTACCAGCTGATCACCTACAACCAATACAGATATTCAAGCGAGGCTGAGGCCATTGGCTTCCTTATGGCTCTGTCCTCTGTTAGCTACACTCCATTCTACGCCCTGTTCCACTTGCGCAGAACAGATGGGGACACCCTCCTCCAGGTGAGGGGTGGGGGCAGGGGCAGCCAGGTGAATCGGAAGGGGGTGGATGGCTGGATGCTGCTCCAGGGCTCCCTTCTGATGCACTCTGCCGGCCTGTTCCTCCCCTATGCCTACCTCTCCTGCAGCACTTGAAAAACTCAACCAGGCCAAGCAGAGACTGGGGTCCCGCCCTCCTGGAGCACCGAACAGGGCGCTACGCCCCCACCATTCCACCCTCCCCCGAAGATGGGCCTGAGCTCCAGCAGCTGCACCAGGACAAGGCCCAGACTCCCATTGGGGGCAGTAATGGGAGGACATTACTGCCATCTGCAGGACACACAGATGTGAGCATGCTGCTGGGGGGAGTGCCCCACCCCACCCTGTGCTCCCAACACAGAGACTGGGGAGACAGTGGATGGGTGTCACTGCCTGCGCCCACCATGCCCTGGCTGGGGGTGGCCCCTGTCACCTTGGCCACCACTGCTAGCACAGTCATTGTTCACGGCCAACCAGTCTCTGGAGCCAAATTCCTTCCCCCAAGCCCCGCAGTGTCCGTGTGTCCGTCCTCCGTGCTCCTCTGTTCAGTGACAGCCCCGGAAGAGCCGCCTGTAATCCTCTGTAGCAGTGACGGTATGCTGCCCATGCCCAACTGTCTGCATTCCACTAGGCTTTTGAAGTTCATAGGTTTTAATGAAATTTCTATTCTAGTTTCTGAGCTGCTGCTGTGCTTTGTCTGGGTCCCCCAGGGGGATATGAGTCAGGGCTGGGACAAGACCTCCTCCTGCCAGGCCTTTGGGGGGGGTGCCTGGGAGGAGAAAGGCCAGAGGCTGTGACAGTCAGGACCAGACACTGAGGACCTGGTGAGAAGGTAGGGTGGGGGCCACACAGACAGACAGGCAGACAGCAGTGGAATCCTGGGGAGGGCTCATCCTAGACTAGATCAGAAGAGGGCTGGACCCTGCGGCTGAAAGAGAGCAGGAGCAGACAGGATGCGTTCCAGCCGAAGCTGAAGCCTCCTTCCTGAGCAGCCCTTCAGGTTGGGGCCTGGAGTGCTGCACTGGACATCAGGGTAGAAGCTGGCCTTTTGCCGGGGCGGCACTGAATCTTCCGTCCCCAGCGGCAGGTGGCGGCCAGGCCGCGAGGTTTGGGGCAGCGCTCCAGAGGGGGAGTGGGCAGGCAGCACTGGAGAAGCCTGGCTCAAACTCCAGCAGCCCCGTGGAGGCAAGGCAGGAGTCCGGTGCCCTGGCTGGAGGACCCCAAGGGCTGTGGCCTGAACGGGAGGGAATAGCTGTGAGGGGGCCGTGGCCTGCCCTGCAGCCTCTCCCATCCAGCTGTCTGTCTGCTCTGGATTACCTGTAGCTGGGGGAGACACTGGAAGGCCTCAGGGGTGCCTGCGGCTCCTGTTGCATGGCTGCCTTCTATTCCTTTAGCTCTGGAGGAGAGGTTCTGCCTGAGACACAGCACCCAGTCTTCCAGGGTGTGTTACAAGAGCAAGGTGGGACGGGGTGGGGGAAGTGGGGGGAGCGGAGCGCTGGGTGCTCTGGGGCCTGCCTGGTCCTCACCTGCCAGGGTGGGCTCTAGGCTTGCCTCAGAGGGCTGAGGGGCCCCTGAATACTCGTCTCCAGGCAGCGCTGCAAGGAGAGCTGGCTCAGTGCTTGGCTTTAAAACAGGGGCGGGGCAGGACTGGGCAGGGTGCCCAGGCCAGGATCCCCACGGTGGGGCGGTGGGGCGCAGGAACTAGCCCATGCAGTCTCTTCCTCCTAACCACCTGGGGGTACTCCTGAGAGGAACACCAGCCTCTCCCTGAAAAGCTGAGCTTAGCAAGGGGGTGGCAGGCCTGAACCCAGACTTGGGGAAGAGAAGGTGGCAAAAGACCTAGGCCAACCCAGCAATTGATCTAAAAGTGCTGACCTCGGACTTAGGGACTCAACTGGGATATGGGTTCATGCACTTAAGGATCACACACATAAGTATGCACACAGGAAAAACGGACCCAGGGTTCACACAGCCTCTGCAAGCACAGACACACAGAGACACGTGTGTGTGAATCTCATGCTCTGGGTGAGACACAGGGGTGTCTATGCTCAGCAGAAGGGCTGGGAGTGGGGCGGCCCAGGATTGTAGCTCACCTGCAGGATGGGAGTCTCCCTCTCTAGTGCACGGCACTCTTTCCTCCAGGAGGGTCTTGGGACATGGACAGGGCAACAGTGGAAGCAGTGCTGCAGGCCCGGGTCTCAGCAGAGCCCTCCATGGGGTCCCAGCCTCTGGCCTCCCCAGGAACCTCCTATCCCAGCCCACCTCTCCCTCTGCTGCCCTCATGCTGTTCCAGCACAACCTGGCAGCCCTGCCAGCCTCTTCCTGGGCAGGGTGTGTCCTCTCTTCTTGCCTGCCTCCCAGTGCCCACCCTGAGGAGCAGCATTCTCTCTTCTACACGATAGGACTAGACTTGTGGGTTCTCCTGCCTCCATTCTCTCCCGCATCACAGCCCTGCCCCTACTTTAAAAACTCTCTGTGTGTCATCTCTTCCCCACCTCCCAGGATAAAAGTCCTCAGGCCAAGGCCCGTGTGAGCATCTGTACTTGACTGATTCCTGGCAGCATCGTCATTGACATTCTGCCCTTTTCACCTCTCAGCCCCACTCTCCTGGGTCTCCCAGCCAGGTGTGTTCCCTCTCTTCTCCTCCCAGTAGCCCCAGTACATCAGGGTCCATCTGCAGTCCCACCCTCCCTGTCTCCACCCTCACTGCACACACTTGGGGGCCTCACCACAGGTGTCCAGCAGCCTGGTCAATGTGGGACACATTCAGCTGGTCCTTGATCATGCTGAGGCCTGGTGACAGCTGCTGGCAAATGAAGTCAACCTCACTCTCTCATGCTGCTTCACCCCAGGCCTTCAGGACACAAATGCCATTTCTCCTAGACAAATTTGTGTTTTCTCTCAAAGGCAATACAAGATGGTACTAAATGGAGGAGATCTAGAGCCTGGGATTGCACATGGGTTCTGCTAGCCTTTACTGTGTGTGAGTCTGGGAAAGTTAATCATCCTTTTTGAGCTTTAGTATCCTCACCTGCAAAATGGGGACATCACCCCCTTCATAAGGATATGTGAGACACAAATTGCTACCATTCACCGACGAACACGCTGCGGCTCGTTTATCTCATTCAATCCCTAGCCCTCTCTAACAGTCCTCGCAGTCTGGCTATCCCAGCCTGAGGGACAACCGGCTCTGGATGAAGTCTTTCCTTCCACTCATATCTGCACGTAGTTCTCCCTGTTCCTGCAAAGCGCTTCTCTTTCTGTCTGTCTGGAGGCCTGTTCCTCGCACTCTAAAACCCAGCTCAGACCAAGCGCCCAGGATCGGCACGTGTTTCCTGGGCCTCTGCAGCCCTCATGGGCTGACCTCTACCGCAAGTGGCTGTAGAAGTGTCAGTCTCACACCAGGAACTCCTCCATGCCCGCGGGTGGGACCTACCAGCCAGCTGGGGTCCTTTGCCCAGCGAGGACAGATCCCTCCTCTCCTACTACTGTATCTGGGTTCACCAGCTCTCATCTGGAACATCTGTTCTGGCAAATCATGCCTGGGCTCCTCCAAGGCAAAGCGCAGGACCCTGGGGGCTATACTGGACCCAAGCGTGGGTCTGGTCCCTGCAGAAGATGCATAAAGGCGATTCGGGGGCTCCTTCCAGGGAACCAGAGGAAAGGCGACCCTGGCCCCTTGTCAGTTGGCAGGCTAGCCCATCTGAGTTCTGGAGACAGGGCCCAGACCCAGGTCTGGAGCTCCAACCTGCCCTCACAGATGGCCTTCCGGTGGAGACCTTGAAGCAGCTGCAGCAGTTCCTGGCGCACAACATCTCTTAGGAGGGGCGGTGGTGCCAGAAGGGAGCAGAGGAAAGAGGTGGGGCGCGATCCAGAGGCTTGGACATATCGAGCTTCTTGGAGCAGTGATGCTAACATCACTACCTGAAAGGAGAGCTGGGACACCTCGGCCACTGCGGAGGGAAGTGAAGGCAGGCAGAGAAGCTGGGGGAATGAGGCGCAGGGCAGTTCAATTGGAGCGGGTCGGGATGGACAGCGAGATCCTCCAAGAGCTCTCTCCAAGAGCTCGAGAGTTACAGGGACACGTCGAAGGTGATAAAATCATCCGAGTCGTGGGACAGGTCTGCCGTGGGGCCCACCTTCCTACGCCCCACCTCTGCCCGTAGCTCCAGGCTCAGATCCACTTTCGTCTCCCCTAGAATCCTCCTCACTTCGGGCCGCTCCGGGAGCGGAACGTGCTCTTCCACCAGTTCCCACAGCGACTGCGAGTCCCCAGGCATGGCCCGCCCGCGCCGCTGCGCCCCCAGAGGTGCGGTCGCACCCTTGGACCTGTGCGACCACAGCTCGGAGCGCTGGGTTACTGGTATACTGCTAGTCAGTCGCCCAGGGCCGGGCACACCCACTCACGCCTCGCCCGCGTCCGGGTCTCACAGGCCACGCCCCCAGCCCGTCACTCGGACCGGCCTCACCCAAACCTCATTCCCTTCTGCCGCCCGTCCCCACGACTAGAGTTGCTTGGTCCAGAGCCGCTGGCCTCTGGCGCTCTCTTCTGCTCTGCTGCTGATCAACTCTCAGAGGCCACAGTTTCAGGTCGCGGCCCGGGGAACCTGGAGGCCCTAGCCCCGCCCCTTCCGCGCGGCCGTCACCCGGGAAACGGGGCCAGCTACCCCAAGCCCCGCCCCCAAAGGGTCCCGGCCCCGCCCATTCCAGGGCGGTGCCGGCTAGCAAAGCCCAACCCACAGTCTTGGTAGGTGGTTTCGCTGTCTCAACCACGCACATCACCCTGACTCTGAGCACCTTTCATCTCCAGGACAGGTGAAAGAACCGAGAAATATGAGCCCGGTGGGTTTATTACTTCCGTGCCTTTTCTGGGGCAGGAACGGAGTAGGCTGTTCCGGGAAGACAAGTAAAAGGGGGAGTGTGGGAGAAACAGGAGGAGGGGAGGAAGGCGGTAGGTCGAGGGGGACCAAGGGACCAGATGAGCAGCGTCTCACGGAGCCCCCCTTGCTTGAAGCCAGACTTGCAGTGTGAAGTGCAGGGAAGCCTGCGGTGAGCGCCTTGGGGTCTGGGCGGACTCTCTGACCCTCGAACCCCCGCACCCCCCGCCCCCCTCCCCGCTCCCCCTGCCCCAGCGCCCCACTCTCTCATTTTCCTGGCTGCTCCTCTGCACTTTTCCTACCTGGTTCTGTTTTCTCCAGGAGAGCTGAAAAATGGGTTCATTTCCTGGCTTTTCCTCTCCTGAGGAGCCACTTAGAAACCCGTCCCTCCGGTCCCACTGGAGCTGCTGAGTCAGAATCTGAGCAAAACCATATCCTCCGGTGGTTCATATGCATGTCGGAGTTGTACAAGCGCTCTTCCAGATGCAATGGGTTTCAGTCTACACGTTTTACTTTGCTTTTGAGGACTGACCACGCCTGTTAGATCTTTCCTCCGTAGGAAAGCGAGCTTGCACTGAGCTTGTAAATAAGGTCGCTTGTAAATAAGTAAGCAGCTTGTGGCTGCTTGTGGGTTGTCACAGCTCTTAAAGTGAAGATGAGGAATCTCTGTTCATTTTCCTACTTTAATTTGAACTTGTCCTGCTTTAATATAAAAGTAGCGTTTCTCTGAAGTTATTTTACAGAAGTGTCAGCGCACACAAACACACACATTTTATTTTATTTTATTATTTTTTTGCTAATAAATGAAATTAATTTTATTATTAGTGCAATATAAATTGTTATTGATTTTGAGTTTATGTGCTTTCCTATTTATTCTTTTTTTTTTTTTTTTTTTGTTGGAGGCTAATTACTTTACAACATTGCAGTGGTTTTTGTCACACATTGAAATGAATTAGCCATGGATTTACATGTATTCCCACCCTTCACAGGTCCACCCAGGCTCTCCTGGATGCAGGCCCGGTCTACACTGGCCCCAGACAAGCCCCCATTCGTTTTTTCTGTGCTTTCCTATTTTTTTTTTTTTTTTTTTT